CCTGGAATGCTGTCCTCTGGATAGCCACATGACTGACAGGAAAGACTATGGCCTTACAGCCTGGAAAAGCCTTTGGAGCAGTTCTGCTTCCCCCATAGGATCCCTGGAGTAATTTTAATTGCCAGTGAAGCAATTCACTGGCACACAACAAAACCGGAAGTTACAGTCTTAGCATTTTAGAGGATAGGGTTTTAAACTTTATATAAACTCAGTAAAAATGATAAGTCTTTGAAGAGAATGAACTGTTAAAGCAGAGGGCCTCAGAATCTTAGACAAATTTAGAGAATATGTTTTAGCAAGATGTTGGCAATCTTTATTTATGAATGAGAATTATATTTTGCAGGAAGTTTTGAGAATATGTATAGTTAACTAGATATAAATTAGGGAGCTCTGGTGGCCTAGTGGTAAGAACCTGTGTTACAATCCTAAAGGAACATGGTTCAAATCCACTCTGCTCTACGGGATAAGAATGGGTAGTCTCCTCCAAAACCCACTGGAGAGTCACTTCCTACTCAACAGCACACAACAACAACATATACATTACTAAGGCTGTGTCACTTCTCCTTTTTTTCAAATTTTCTGTGAGCATGTAAAATATTTTTTCCCCTTTTTTAATTACTAAAAAGTATAGGCAGTAGACATTGGGTGCATTCTGTTGTAATAAACCACTCATTCATTTACTCAAAGTTGATGTAAAGTGAATTTTCTCTTTGCCATTGGAACTATTAATTTGGTAGGTCACATGTATTTTTTTATTCATCTATTGTTGTTTGTTGTTATGTGCTGTCGAGTCGTTTGCGACTCATAGTGACCCTATGTACAACAGCTCTAAACCGTGCTCTATCCTGTGCCATTCTCATTGCCGCTGACACACCCATCCTGATTACCCCAGTCACTGAATCAATCCACCTCATAGAGGGTCTTCCCCTCCTATGCTGTGCCTCTACTCTACCCAGCATGATGTCCCTCTCTAAAGACCTGTCTCTCCTTACAACATGTCCAAAGTATGTCAGAAGAAGCCCCAGAATCCTTGCCTACAAGGAGCAGCCTGGTTTAACCCTCTCTAGGATGAATCTGTTTGTTTTCTTGGAAGTCCATGGTACATTCAATACTCTTCTCCAGCACCACAGCTCAAGGCGTCAGTTCTCCTTCTATCCTCCCTAGTCATTGTCCAACTCTCTGATGCATAACAAGTGATTGCAAAGACCATGGCCTGTATCAGGCGCACCTTAGTCTCCAGAGAGACACCGTTGCTCTTGAGTACTCTAGAGAAGTTCCTAACCGCAGACTTTCCCATCGCAATACGTTTTTTGATTTCCTGGCTGCTGGTGCCAAGAGTGTTGACCGTGGAGCTGAGCAAACTGAAGCTGTGAACAATCTCAATCTCTTCACCATCCATCCTGATGCTACCGATTGGTCCAGTGGTGAGAATTTTTGTCTTCTTGACATTGAGCCTCAGTCCATATTGAAGGCTGCAGTTCTTGACCCTCTGCAGTTATCTATACTTAAATATTTAATTCAGTATGTCTTAAAAGAAAGATGGATTGATATAGTGACTGTGACAATGGGCTTAGGTGTGTCATGGATGATGAGGGTGGCACAGGATAAGAGAATTCAGATATGTTTTTTAAGGTTGTTATGAATTGTACACAACAATGTCTAACAACAAGTACTTTTAGGAGGTAAAGCTGAAATTTCATAGGAAAAATATAATAAATAATTTATTATATCATTTGAATTTCATAGATTTGTCAGGAGGGTGGCTTACGACTCATGACATTTTATCTTATACATCCAAATATTTTCTTACCATAATTTCCAGAGAAAGAATAACTAAGTTTAATAAGCAGGATTATATAAATTTATATTTCAACCAGCAAGACATAATTTCTTATAATTCTTTGCCCTAGACAATATTGAATCTGAACTAAATCTGTAAGTCTGATTGGTAAAACTGGTCAATATTGAGTGTTTTAACTTTGAATAAGGTTAGGATCTTTTTATATGTTCTTTGACCATATAAAATGGGGGTTTTTAATTTCCTGTAACTGAAATTTGTTTTTTACCATTTTATTATCAGAACCTGAATTTTATTTGAAATGATAAACCTATATAACAGAAAATGCTTTGTGTTCTTTAAAGACATTGGAGATACAGTTTCTAAATAGCTTCCAACATATTTGTTCTATAGTGAAACCTGGAGTAAGAAACCTGTTAATGAAGAAAAACTCAGATACTTTTCACTAAAATGAGTGATAAAAAGTAGTCAAAGATATCAGAAGGGTTAAATGGTGGTCAAAAAAATGCCAAAAATGGAAAACTTGTGAGACTCAGAAAAACAAAGCAGTCTTAGAGAGTCCCAACTCTCACTAGTTTCACAAAATTTAGTATCCATATGTAGGAATGAGGAATCCTAGTGGTACAGTGGCTTAAGTGCTGAGCTACTACTAACCTTTGATTTGTATTGACAAAGGATGCCATATATATCCCGTGGACTGCCAAAAGAATAAACAGATCTATCTTGGAGAATGATGCAGCCAGGTTGCTCCTTAGAGGCAAGGATGGTGAAACTTCATCTCACATACTTTGGACATGTCTTCAGGAGGGGTTAAATCCTTGTACAAAGATGTGGTAAAGGCCATATGTGGGTAAAGGAGGAGGGTCAGACAAAGAAAGGAAAACTCAATGAGTTGAATTGACACAGTGATTGTAACAGTGGGCTCAAGGATGGTGGAGATGTGAGGATGGGCAGGAGAGAGCAAGACTCACATCTGTGGTTCAGAGGATAGGTGCTGGGCTTAGCATGAAAGTACATAACAACAACTATGCAAAAAAGGAGTTTTGGTGAAGTAGTTGGTAGGGAGTCAGTGCTAACCCCAGGGTAGAGCTGCTCTGCTCTTTTCAATCTTCTTTCTCCTCAGGAGAAAGGTGGAAAATCTTCTTTTGTGTAATTTATATCTTTAGAAAACTTACTGGAGGGTCAGCTATTAGTCTATTCATATGGTGGGTAATAAGATGAGTAGCTAATAAGGAAGCTCTAGTGTCATAATCAGCTCTAGTGGCCTAGCACCAAGAAACTGCACGATCCTGGGGGTGTATGATTTGACGCCATAAGCTACTCTGCAGGAGGAGGATGGGCAATCTCCTCCCTTGAGATTAACTGCCTCTGAAAACCCACTGGAGGGTCAGCTATGAGTTGGTTCTGATTTTAAAGTATACAACAACAAAAGCAGTGGCATAATTGGTAGGGATTTGCACTGCTAGACCAAAAGCCACACATCTCTTGGTTTGAATCCACCAGAAGAAGATCAGTGCGAGAAAGATAATCTCTTTCCATTTTATTTGAAGCCTTAGAAACTTGCCTGAGGGTCAGCTATGAGTAGATTTTGACTAAATGGCAATGAGTAAGTATACAGTATGTAATAGAAACTCTTGGATCCTTAAATGGATGGAATTAATTTTCTTTCTCGGGGACGCACAGGGAGTAGTTCAGAAAGCAAAGGCGGTGAAGACAAACACAAAATAGGTAAAGGTTAGGAAATTTGTGCTGCAGAGTAGAAATAGGAGACTAAATAATTTTTGTGTTTTCAACCATTGAGTGAAAGCTTTTCATTTTCCTTTCTCTTTAGAGTCCTGTTGATAAAAACAATAGAAAACTGTGGCTTTCAGTACCAAGAATTTCTATTATCTTGAACCTCTGTAGGTACCCCATATATGTAACTCACATGCATGTAACTCAAAGTATTTTTTTTTGCCCAAAAGGAATTTGAATCAATACAGAGAATGAATTTGTTTTGGCTAATATATTCTGAAGTTCAGAACATTGATCTTAATTTCAAAAAAGTGCAGTGTACATATCTCTTGATTCTTCTGTACATGTTTTATGAAAAGATTAGACAGCTTAGCAGTACAGGTGTTTGGAAATGTTACATTATATGAACCTTAGCTCTTTACATTCATCCCTCTCCCTTTCTGTTTTCTTAGTTGGGATAAGCTAAACTATTAACCAGCAGTAGTTAAAATAATTAGCTATTTGGATCCACCAAGTGATTATATAATAATTTCCTCTGAGGTTTTTCCTAAGACTCAGAAAGATTCATTATTTTCAAATACTTTTCTTTTTTAAATATTTACTTCCCCCCTCCCTTTCTTTCTTCATTTCTTCGTTTTTTTTTTTCAAGGTAGCACAGAATTAGTGTTTATGGGAAAGCCGAAAGAATAATTTCAAAATAAAGCAGCAGCTACATTTACATAGTTCAAAATTTAACTACCTTTTATGGAATATGGCAGAATTTTCTGAATCTGAAAAGCACTTTTAAAGTACTTTAATAACAATGGGTCAACATTCTCTTCATCTTCTTTCCTGGACTGTAAAATAGCTTCAGCTTGCATCTGAGGAACTTTAAAATTTGAGCATTCATTAATTGTTTACTTAATTTAAGAAAATCTCATGAACTTTAAGTGAGTAGAATTTTTGGGATGAGAATTATATCTTATTAAAGCTGTTATTTAAAAAAAAAAACTAACCTAAAAACATTTTCAGTGGTATTTGGAAGTAGTTTTGTATTACTTACTGTTAGGTAGAAAGTAATGTCCAGAGACTAATTAAGTTGTGGAATAAATTTAAAGTGCTACAGTGTTTAAGGACATAGTTGATTTTCATGTATTTAGTTGTTTTAGCTTAGGAAATCTTTCTATTCAAGTCTTAAATACACCTTATTAGATCGAAAAATGACAATATAAACAATAGTGACTGAAAGAAACAATTGAGTTTTTCATTTTAGCCTTGGTTTGAAAGATTAACCAGTCTGTCTTCATGTATTTCACTTGGTGCTTAGTTTCTCTTGTCCTGGTTTCTGTAGACAAGCCACATATTTCATAAAGTGAGAACATGTGCTATAGAATGCTGGTGGGTTTTTTTTTTTGGCTTCTTCTCTAATGAACAAATTGAAATGAAGGGCTTTTTTAAAAAAAATAATAAATACTATTTATCATTACAGAAAGTGGTGTACCTGCACATGTGGTGGCTGCCATTGATGTAAACACTGTTGCTAATGAAGTTTACAAGTATAATTTTCCTCACACACCAATAATGGCCAAGACAATTGAAGTGAGTATTGATAATTCTGGTTTTAATAAAGCTAGAGAAAGGAAAAATATAATGGAAAACTTCTGCAAAGTGTTTGTTTCTGATGTCTAAATTAGAAGACAAAGTCGTATCTAAGTGAAAAAATTTAAGAGAAAGGAAATAACATTTTCTATTTTATCAGAAGGAAAAGAGTGCTATTTATTTTGTCTTTTTTTAAAAAAAAACACTCACACCCACTTTATTAGTCAGAAAAATAAACATTTTATACTTAAAAAACATTTTCCAACAGAATGTCCTTGTTACTAATATTTGTGATTCTTTTTTCCCCCTTCATTTTTTTATTATTAATTTTAATAAACATTTACAGAGGTTTTGGACGTCCATTTATTCATCGCCGCACTTATATAGAGAGAACATTGTATTACTCTGTGAAAGAAAAAATTGGACTATAAGCAAATGTTTGTTTTTGTTGTGGTATTAAATTTTACTTTGTTCTTTACTTTTAAGTAATACTTAGGTGTCTTATAGCATATGAGGGATGGATAGTGCTTATTTTTAGCAAACTTGTAAAAATGAAAGATACTTTTCCACCTGTAACTAACTTAACAGAGAGATTTAACATTGTATATAAAACAGCATTTCTGGAAAAATCCAGAAGAGCCAAATAAAAATCTCTATAGAAATGAAAAGCATATCAGAAGTAACTAAAAAATAAATCAAGCAATGCTGACAAAGGGTCATGAAGGAAGGAGCTTCAGGAAATTAAATATGGATTGAAGTTCAGCATCAAGAAAATAAAGATTCTCAGCACTGGGACAATTGGCAGCATCATGATAGATGGAAAACTGATTGAGATTGTTAACAGTATCAGCTTGCTTGGGCTCACAATCAACATTCTTGGCACCAGTAGTCAGGAAATCAAAAGGTGGGTGAATTACATTAGCAAAATCTCCAAAGTGCTGAATAGCAAGGATGTCAGCCTAGTAACTAAGTCTTTGCAGTTACTTTACCAAGGATAACAGAAGAATTGATGCCTCTGAGTTGTGGTGCTGGAGAAGACTATTGAGAGTACCATGGACTGCTAGGAAAACAAACAGATTCATCCTGAGAAGGTTAAACCAGGCGGATCCTTGGAGACAAGGATTCTGAGGCTCTGTCTGGCATACTTTGGACGTGTTGTAAGGAGAGACAGATCCTTGGAGAGGGACATCATGCTTGGGAGGGTGGAAGACAGTGCAGGAGGGGAAGGCCCTCTATGAGGTGGATTGATTCAGTGACCGGGGTAATCAGGATGGATGTATCAGAGATAGTGCGATTGGCACAGGACAGAGCAGAGTTTAGGGCTGTTGTACATAGGGTCGCTATGAGTCACAAGTGACTCGACGGCACATAACAACAATGACAACATAATTATATTATTTATAATTATATAAGTTAAGCATTATATATATGACAACAATCTGGAATAAGGGGACCATTATAGGTGGGCTTGTGGGAGAGAAGAAGATGTGCAACAATGAATTAAAACAATAAGTAAAAATTTTAAAAAAAAAACCCAACCAACCAAACACAACAACATAGCAAGATTTGTGAGGATGGTCTGTGATAGGCAACATTTTGTTGCACATGTGGTCAGTCTGTGGTCCAGAACTGACTGAAGAGCACCCAACAACAGCAGTTGGATTTACTGTGGAGACATTGACTCTCTTTTCCTTAGATCCTAGCTATAGGGTGTTACTTTATAACTTTTAAAAGATCATTGTTTTATTTTTACATTATTTATAGCAACTTAGCAGCAATAATTTCAGAGTAAAACACACTCAGTGTAAATTGCTTATCATAATGGCCCCAAGCTGACCATTTTACATTCTAATTTGACTGTCTTTAATTAGTGATTTTTCCATTTTCTTAGATCCAGAGGTGCTTTAGGAACTTTTCAAAATTTAATTTTAATTTCATTTTACAGATGAATCATAAACTATTTAAAATCTCGTGATTAAAAATTGACAGGCACATACATTCAAGCTTAGAACTTTAAAAAACAAATTATGTTGCCAAAGTAGCTCACTCTTGAAAAAACTCCAAATAAAATATTTTCCACTTTGTTAATGTATTTGAAATTCTTACATAATTAGGAAGGTTTCGACTCTGCTTTGATGATTTAAAAAAATTGCAGCTAAGAATGTACACTAAAAATAATGAGAGTTGGCAAACCTATTATTTGTGTTTATTTTCTTTTCTATAAAATATATGTAACATAGCACGTTTTATAGCTGCTAAGCTCTATGTACCAGGACTCCTTACAGTGGGATCACTTTATCTTTTCAGTCTTTAACTCTGTATTATGAATTTAGAAAACATTAAAATAATTTGTACGAAAACGGACCTTTTTCTATGTGGTGGCAATATTAACAGATAAAAACATGAAAGAATTGGAGGTCGGTGTGTAATATTTGCTAATTAAAAAGATTTATATACTTCTGAAAATTTTCTTTAAGCTTAGTGAAAATCAGTATTTATAAGATGCATTTCTACATTTTTGACCCTAAAAGAAAAAAATAACATTATACTAAGTTGTTATTGGAGTGAGAAGTGGTGGTGCTAGTTGTCTACCACAAACTTAATTTGCATTAATTTCTCCATGTAACAGAATATAGCTGCCCCATAGGCTGTAATCTTTATGAGCACAGGTTGTCAGGTCTTTTGGCCTGTCGAGTAACTGATTATTACCTTTTGATTAGTTGCCAAGTGTGTAAGAAACATCTTAAAGGGAAGAAGTGGTTAAGATCCAGAAAACTAGAATATCGCTCAGCTTTGGCTATCTTATAGTGAAAGCATTTAATTCTTTCAAGCTGTTTTTTGTTGCTGTACTTATTCACAAAGGTAGTTTGGTGGGGTTTTTTGTTTGTTTTTTATGTTAACGAAAGCTGATTTTAAGAGTATTAAGTGTCACACTTTATAAGTTGTTATAATAATTTCTGATGAATTGTGCATCTCTTATTAGTTAATATATTCTTCTTCCTACACCCTCCCCAATGTTCATTCCCTAGGGCATTACACTAGAAGAGTTCGACAGATTATCTTTCAATATGATTTTAATGAGCCCTCCATGCCAACCATTTACAAGGTATGTATAATTTCTGTGTTGAAGAAAAGCACTTTTGAAGGACTCATTAAGGCAAATCATAGTATGGCTTCAGGCATGGACACTTTGATATCCATCAGTTACATTTTCATAGTTTTGAAAGTTTTCATAAATAATTCCTTTTATCTACTTATATTTATAATTTAGGAATCATAAAGGAAATAGCAATTGCTATTCCTAATATCAGAAAGCAAGCTAATGAGGCCAATAGTAGATATATAGTGACTATAGAGAAGCACTTTTATACCTACCTATGATACAACTTTTATTTCTAGACCAAATTATCTTAAATTATTTAAACTACTGGATGGCTAAGCATGTCTTTCTAGTATTGATTTGTCAAAGTCAATTTTTAGGAACTCTTCAGGTCCTAAATTTCATCACAATAAAACTTAAAGGCTAGTCAAGCTGACATATGTGATTTTTTTTATTTCTTAAAATTTATATATATATTCAATAATTTAATTATAAATTTATTATAGCTTCTTCTCATTACATGGTATTTAGTTTCAAGGTATTATATTGTAGGTAAAGATCTTGATTGAGAAATTTTTAATAATTTCAGTATTTTAATAATGATAATCTTCTACATGTCTTACAGAGTATTCTACTTAGCTTAATAAGCCTAGGTAGGTAGCCATTACTATCATCCTCATTTTATAGGTGAGAAACTGAGGCATAGAAATTAAGTAACTTTTCTAAAGCCATACAAACTCAAAATGTCAGACTAGCATTTATGAATAATTTTAAATATTTCTGATCTATTATATTGTTTTAAGGAGGATACCATATGTAATAAATATTGTAGTTCAAAAGTAGATTCTTATGCTTAATTTCTGTCTGAAGATTTGATTTAGTTAAATATCTCTTAGTGATATTAATTCTCCAGTGGTGCCAGGTATAATTTTTGATGCTTTACTTTTTGTCTTTGAGGAACTCTTAGTTTAATGTAAAACTGATGAATAAATAATGGTATTTTTTCCCCAAGTTATATGAATTATTTAACAAGTGAATACTAAAAGTATGGTGAGGAGAAAAATCGCTTGCTATATAATTTCTACAAGTACCAGTATTTATTTCATTGGGAGAGGTGACTCTTTTTGGAAGTTCCTCATTGAGCTGAATCTGAAGGCAGATTAGTTTATGACAAAAGGAAAAGGGTATTCCATGCCAGTGTAGCTCCTACTATATGCAAGAATATAACTTGTTTGAGTATTAAAAACAGAATGGCTTCAAGATTGGAAGAAGACTCATTGACAGCCTGCATTATGCAGAGGACAAAACCTTGCTTTCAGAAAGTAAAGAAAACTTGAAGAATTTACTGCAGAAGAGCAAAGCTTTTAATTTAAATGTTGGATTACTTTTCAACATATGTTTTTGTTATGTGCTATCAAGTATCAATCCATCTCATCTGGGGTCTTCCTTTCCTGTGATGTCTCTCCTCCCTTCCAAGCATGATGTCATTCTCCAAGGACTGGCCTCTCCTGGCCACCTGCCCAAAGGATGTGAGACAGAGCTTCAAAATCCTAACCTAAAAGGAGAAACTTGGTTTCACTCTCTCCAAGGTAGATCTATTTGTTTTCTTAGCAGTCCATGGTATGTTGAAGACTCTTCTCCAGCACCACAACTAAAAGGCATCAATTCTTCTATCTTCTTTAGTCATTTTCCAGCTCTCTGATGCATAGCAAGTAATTGTGAATACCATGGCCTGGATTAGGCGCACCTTTGTTTCTGGACTAACAGGTTACTCTTCAGTACTCTGGAGAGTTTCTTGACAGCAGATTTTCCCATTACAATTAGTCTTTTGATTTCCTGACTGTTGGTGCTTGTGGAGCTGAGCAAGCGTAATTTTTAATAGCCTCAGTCTCTTCTTCATCTATCATGGTGCTGCCCATTGGCCCAGTGGTGAGAGTCTTTGTCTTCTTGATGTCGAGCTTCAATCCATATTGAAGACTACAGTCCTTGACATTCTGTAGCAAGCACATCCGACCCTCTTCAGTTTCAGCAAGCAAGGTTGGGTTATCTGCATAACATAAGTCTTAATGAGTCTTCCTCCAATCCCGATGCCACTTTCCTCCTCATAAAGTCCTGCTTCCCGAATGATCTGTTCTGCATACAGATTGAAAAGGTATGGGGACTGGATGCATCCCGGATACACTCACTTCCTGATTTTGAACTATGCAGTGTTTCCCTGCTCTGTTCTGAGGCCTGCTGCTTGGTCCAAGTATAAATTTCACATAAGCACAATCAAATGTTCTGAGACTCCCATTTTCCTCAAGGTTAGTCACAATTTGTTGTGATCCACACAATCAAATGCCTTTGCATAGTCATTGAAACACAGATAGACATTCCTCTGGTACTCTTTGCTTTCTGCCAAGATCCATCTGACATTGGCAGTAATGTCGCTAGTGCCACAACCTATTCTAAACCCAGCTTGTATTTCTGATAGTTCTCTGTCAATGTACTGTTCCAATTGTTTCTGCATATTCTTCGGCAGGATTTTGCTAGCATGTGATATTAGTGATATTGTTCAATAATTCCACGCTCTGTCACGTCCCTTTTTTTTAAATTGGAATAAATATGGATCTCTTCCAGTCTATTGGCCAGATAGTTGTCCTCCAGATTTCTTGGCACAACCTGTTAAGCACATCCAGGGCAACATCTGTTTGTTGAAATATGCCAGTTGGTATTCTATCAACTCCTGGGGCTTTATTTTTTGCCAAGTCTTTCTGAGCAGTCTCAACTTTCTCTTTCATCACCTTTGCCCCTTGATCATATGTTGTTTCTTGAAATTCTTGTGTGTCAACCAATTCTTTTTGGTATAGAGGCTCTGTATACTCCTTTCATCTTCTTTTAATCCTTCCTGAATCATTCAGTATTCTCCTCATAGCATCCTTAAGCATTGCAACTTGCAGCTTGAATTTGTTCTTTAGTTCCTTCAGCTTAAGAAATGCTGAGTTCAGCCCTTTTGATTTTCAGACTCCAGCTCCTTGCACATTTCATTATAATACTTTTCCTTATCTTCCCAGTCTGCCATTTCAGATCTTCTATCCAGCTCCCTTTGCTTTGGTTTCTTGGTGCTCTAGTGCAATACTCAGCATCTCTTCTGACATCCATTTTGGTCTTATTCCTTCTTTGTAGTGATCTTTTGCATTCTTCATGAATGATATTCATGACACCTTCCCACAACTCATCTGGTCTTCGTTCATTAGTATTCAAGGTCTCAGACTTGTTCCTGAGTTGGTTTTTAAGTTCATGGGGGAGAGACTCAAATTTTAATTCCTGTGTATATGAGTTAAACTTTTTTAGCTTTAATATGAACTTACATATGAGCAGTTGATGGTCTGTTCCAAAATCAACACCTGGCCGGGTTTTCACTGTTGATATTGAACTTCTCCAATAACTCCTTCCACAGATGTAATCATCCTGATTCCTGTGCTTCCCCTCAGGTGAAATCCGTGTGTATAGCCTGTGTTTATGTTTCTTATAAAAAAATTTGCTATGAATAAATCATTGATTGTGCTGAATTCTATCATTCTATCCCCAGCCTCGTTTCCGTGACCAAGTTCTTATTTTCCAACTACTGATCTTTCTTCCTGGTTCTCAACTTTCTCATTCTAGTCACCATTATTTTTAATGCATGTTGGTTACATGTTCCATCAATTTCTGACTGCAGCAGTTGGTAGAAATCATCTATTTCCTCCTGTTTGGCTCTGGTTGTTGGTGCATAAATATGAATGATAGTGGTATTAACAGGTCTTCCTTGTATGCATATGGATGATACTCACAACATTGTATTTAAACATGGATCTAGAAATGGCCTTTTTGGCTGTGAAAGCTATCCCTTTCCCCCCCTCCTTTTCATCTTCAGTGTAGTAGATCATATGAGCCTCTGATTCAAAATGTCCTATGCCAATCCATCTCATTTTGCTAATATCTAATATGTCAATATTTGTGCAGTCCATTTCTTTCTTAACAATGTTGTTTTCCTACACTCATGCTTTTCACATTCCACATTCTAAGTATTAGTTTTTTCTTACAACTCTTCCTGTTTTGTATTTCCAAATTTGAGTGTTCAGCTTCGGTTGCCATTATCTGTTAGTCTACTCTAAGTGTGCTTTACTGTACATAGGATTTTTGAAGGCCTGTTATATTTTGGAAGTGGATGGCCATTCAATTAATATAGAAAGTATAAATCTTCACCACTGGACAACATCCTGATAGATAATCAAGTTGTCATCATTTTTATTTCACTTGGATCCATAGTCAACCCTCATGATAATAGCAGTAAAGGAATCAAAAGATGCATTAGGACAATCTGCCGTCTAGGATCTCCCAGAGGTTCAAATAGTGCCCATTTAAACCAAGGTCTTCCTTATCCATGCCATAGTATTTTCAATTGCCTCCTACACATCTGAAAGTTGAACAGTGAATAAGGATGATCAATGAAGAGCAATGCATTTGAATTGTGATGTTTGCAAACAATACTGAATATCTCAGAACTTCCAAACCAACACCAAGTCAGTCTTGGAGGAAGTGCTGCCAGGGTGCTCCTTAGAGGAAAGGATGGTAAAACTTCATCTCACATACTCAGGCATGTTGTCAAAAATGACCAGTCCTTGAAAAAAGACATACTGGGAAAGGTGGACAAAAGAGGAAGACTCTTAACAAGCTTAACTGATGCAGTGACTAAATATGAACTGAACGTGCCAGAGGTCCGTAGGATGAGCAGAATAGGACAAACTTCAGAGCTGTTGTTCAGAGTCTCTATAAGTTGTGGTAAACTTAATGTAATATCACAACAGCCTCTATTCCACATTGTCTCAGTCAACTCTGCTGATCACAGCAATAACTCTGACCCTGTAGTCACCACCACTTGGGACTTTGGATGGGGAGAAGACAGAGAATGAGAATATAAGATTTATAAGGACTATGGGGTTAGGTGTGTCAGAGATGATAAGGTTGCCTCAGGATAGAGCAGGGTTCAGAGCTGTTGTACATAGGTTTGCTGAGTCACAAGTGACTCAACAGCACATAACAACGATAACAACAAGGAATCTGTTTAAATTCAGCCATAATTCTCCAGCTGAGCCTTGGATCCACTCATGGTTTTGGCAGTACTGTCAGGTATTAAACTGACAGGTAATATCAAAGAAATTATTTGAGATTATGAAGCTAATAAGCAGCAAAGACTTAAACTCAGACTCTCAGGCTCTCTGTTTCTATTTGCTCAGACCCAAACCAAGTTTTCTTGATGTTTAATTCTTTAGCATATTGTGACTCTTCCGCAAAATCAAATTGTTAGCTTGTTTACTTGACCTATTTTGACACTAAGTTGCAAATAAGTCCCACCAAGCTGCAACTCCTACTTGTAGAATAAAATTTCCAGTTTAAATCTCTCTAGTTTGCCTTATCTCCTTCCCAAATTAAGTCATTTTAAGAGAACTATTAATTTTATTCTTTGTTGATATTTTTGCTTCATGTAAGTCATTTAACATACTGCTTCATAGAAGAGCTTTTGTGTTTAAGCTGTAGATTGCAAGATTTTTTTATCTTTTAAAAATGCATTTCTTTCTTTAAAAAAAAGTCATAGTTTTTGGTTAGAAAGAAATTATTTTCTTTACCTTGGTTTTGGTTATTTGAAAGTTGTTTGATGTCTCTATGTAACAGTCATATAAACACCTACATGTGTATTCTTTATCCCTTCAGGATTGGACTACAGGGCGACAAGACTGATCCAAGGACGAATAGCTTCTTATATATTCTAGATATTCTCCCAAGGTAAAACTAAGCTTATACAAGCTTATTTTTAATGTAAAACTTTGGATCTGAAATAAGATGTTGTTTATAATTTTGTAGAGATACCCAGTTTATGAACATTCTTTTCTTATACCATTACATCTTCTAGTACTAGAAGAACTGTAAATGTCTTATGATTCTACTATTGCTAACAAAGTGAGTAACAGGGATTATGAGCCTGTTAGCCAAGTTTTACTGGCTCTGCTCATAAATTGATGTGAGCTTTTGCTAATGTTAAGGAAAGCTTTTGCTCTTGTCTAGAAGCTTGCGCTGAAAGCTTTTGTCCTTTGAATGGCAATTCCTTGTGCAATGCATAGGTCCAGTGTGAACCCATGTTTTGAGGTGAGCTCCTGATCATAGCTTTATAAAGTAAGCAGTATGTAATGGGAAAATAAGTAAAATAAGAGATATCTCCATCTCTTATAAAATTACAGAAGAGAACTAGAAACGTGTTTATCTCATGTTTCCCATAAGTATGTTTCTCCTCATTTTTACTTCTCTATAATGAGATTTTTGGAATTCTGTTTATTTTATTTTTTTGTCTTTTTTTAGATTGCAAAAATTGCCAAAGTATATTGTTTTAGAAAATGTCAAAGGTTTTGAAGTATCTTCAACAAGGTAAAAAAAATGTTTTTGTTTCATGTACAGCTTCAACTTGACTGGTTTTTAATAGGAACTGCTGTTAAGATAAAGGTCTTAAAAAGAAACACACATGTTCTGATACTTTATGTATTATAGATTTTCTTTCTATTTTTTTAAGAGTTATAATTGAATCTTTATTTAAGTCTCATCTGTCACTTACGTTTTCCACCAGCTCAGGGCACAGAGCCTTTCCCAGGCTACACAGGCTTGTGTTCAGGCACAGCTTTTGTGGGAACCGAAGCAGCAGCCATCATGGTCTGTCGAGATGCTTGTTGAGCCTTCTTTGCCTCCTTGGCAGACCTGATAGCCTAATTTTAACTAATTCATGAAATAAAGTATTAAAAAATTTGGTTAAATTATTTTCCTGCTTAAGATTTTACAGCATGAGCACTAATTTAAGTAAGAATTTTATTTTTCCATTTGAGGTGTTTTTATTGATGCCAAGGAGCCCTAGTGGTACAATAGTTTAAGCACTTGGCTGTTTACTCAAAGATTGGCAGTTCAAACCCATCAGCCATTCAAGCAGGGAGAAGGTGGTGGCAGTCTGCTCCTATAAACTTTATAGCCTTCGAAATCCCATGGAGCAGTTCTGTTCTGCCCTGTTGTTGTTAGGTGCCATCAAGTTGAGTATGACTCATAGAAACCCTATAAACAGCCAGGCTGAACCCTGCCTTGTCCTGTTCCCATCCTCACCATCTGTGACACATACAAATCTATTGCTGAAGTCACCGTATCTGTCCATCTCATTGGGGATCTTAACCCTTCTTCGCTGATGCCCTATCTTTCCAAGCATGATGTCCCTCCCCAGTAAGTTAGAATTGACTTGTTGAAAGTAGGTTCATTGTTGTCTATCACTTGGGTCATTATGAGTTGTAATCAATTCAGTGGCATATAACAACAATCCCTTTAGAAATAGAAATGTTTCCAGAAATAGTTGGTCTTGTTTATAGAGGCATTTTTCTGGAATTTGGTGGAAGAAGAAAGTAGTCATGTATTTTGACTCACTTGCTGTTCTCATCTGATTGGAACACTGAAGAAAGAATTGTATCTCCCATAACAAATGTATTGTCAGTAATATTAAGCCTGTTAACTCATGAATTTGGAGAAATTTTCTGGCAGCTTTAATTGTATCAGGGAATTCTCTTTTTTTAAAATGCAATTTTTCAATCATTGGTGTTAGTGAAGATTTAGGCTCATTCTTTTTCTAAAGAACCTGAGTGGAAGTATAGTTTTCACTTAAAATGGAATTTGGGATGTAATATTTTATATTTAACACTTAATTTTCAACTTTATAGTGAAAATTTTTTTTCTGCCTTTCTCTTCAGAGACCTGTTGATACAAACAGTAGTAAACTGTGGCTTTCAGTACCAAGAATTTCTATTATCTCCAACCTCTGTAGGTACCACAATTATTTATCTAAAGCTTAAAATATATACAGAGAATGGATCTATTTTGACTAATATTTTAGATAAATTCTAAAATTAGTTCAGGACATAGATCTTATAGAATGCAATGTATGTCTGTAGAGTCTTTGATACATATTTTATGGAAACATTAGATTAAGACTAATTAATCAAATATATATTTTTCTTTTCACATGAAAAGTAGAAGATAGTGGTGTTTTGAAAAATTATGGTTTGATCTTTGCAGAATAGGTCTGCTATAATTTAATAATATTTAACAGTAGCACAAAAGAGAAACCAAATGAGTATGTGATAAATTTTCTAATTTTTAAAATAATATAAAATTCAAATGTAAACAGTACTTTTTTTCATGGCTAAGAATTGAAGTAATGGGTTATATTAGATATTTGGCAGATCTTTGATTTTGCAAGTGTTATTTTTATTTCTTTTATAATTATATCACTGCAGCCATATTATACAGTCCTTTACTCTGAAATAAAAAGAAAATCTATCCAAAATTAGATATACATACTATGGAAATTGGAAGTATTGACAATCTAACTTCTTTAAATCATTTAATTAATTGCCTCTTTAATTCTAGAGTTTATTGACTTCTTAAAAAATAAAGTAAGATAATTAAGGCAAGGATAGCTATATTGGAATTTCACTTTTTATGATGAATATATTATGAAGAATGGGTGTAAAAATGTCTGTATAACTTCCTATCTGGTAAATATCAAGAGAAAATGACTAAAATATATGATTCATCAGATTTAATTCTTATCATTCAAATAAAGATATAGACCAATAGCTAAAATAATTGTTTTCAAAGAATTCTTACACAGATCAATAGCAAAGTTTTCTCTGAAAGAAGCTAATTGTATTTCTGAACAAGATTTTCCCAAGTGGTTAATGGTTGATATAGATCTTTAGTTTTCTATATTGATTAACTACTATGTTTTACTTCCAGCTTGGCATTCCAAATTCCAGGCTGCGTTATTTCCTTATTGCAAAGCTTCAATCAGAGCCTTTACCTTTTCAAGTCCCTGGACAGGTATTACTGTTATTGTGTTTATTTCTAAACACATCACAGTCTGCCAGTTTATGTTCAAAATAATAGGTGTGTGTGTAGGGTGAAGAACATTGTATAGGGGTGTATGTGTCCTATAGAATCCATAGAAACACTATGCCGTAAGTCCATTTTCAAGACTTTTTTCCGCTCCTTTGCCACTTTTATTACTTTTAATAAAACAAAACAAAGACTTTTCTTTCATCGGGGGTGGGGGAGTAATTTAAAATAAAAAGACGACCTTTAATTCTGCTCCTCCTTTCTTTTTCTGTGATAGCCCTGCAGACCATTTATGATTTTGAATTTACATTTTTTTTCCTCCAATAGAAACCATTGTCTGCTTTTGATAAAATTCAATGTGTTTTTAAGTGGTTGAGTTGACTCCATAGCGACTCTATGTGAAACAAATAGAGCGAAGCCCTGGCTGACCTGTACCATCCTTCTATTTTCTACTGTCCTTATTATGCCCACTGTTATCAGTCCATCTCATGGAAGATCTTCCTCTCTTTGGTTAACCTTCTATTTTTTCAGGCACAATGGTCTTCCCTAAGGACTGGCCCCTCCTGATAACATATCCCACATATGTGAGGCAAAGTTTTACCATTCTTTCTTCAAGAAACATTCTGGAAATATTTTTTTCGAAGCAGACCTGTTTATTTTTGGCAACTCATGGTTATTCAGTATTCTTTGCCAACATCACAATTCAGAGGTGCTAGTTTTCTTGGGCCTTCCTTATGCATTTCCCAGTTTTTACATATATGGCTAAAAAACCTCTTTGGGTCATACACATTAGAGTGTTTAAAGTGATGTCTTTGCTCTTTATAGCACTTGAAAGAGACCTCTTGCAGCACAATTTGCCCAATGCAATAAGTTGTTAGATTTCCTAATTACTGCTTAAAAACACTTTTAAGAATATTTTATCATATTTGCTTTAGTAATTTTGGTATCTGTGTATATTTAAATGGTTAAAATATAATTATGATTAGTGCAAGTTCATTGTCTATAGTTCAAACCCTCTCAGCTCTCAAATTGTTCTGACTCATAGTAACCCTACCTGTGTTGTGAGACTTCCCAACTTTCTCCTGTGAAGCCATTCTTGGTTTCAAACTGCCAGGGATATGGAGTGTTTGGATTGTTAGCATAACTTGCTATAGACTCTGCCACCAGTTAGGATCGTTAATTATACAAAGAATTTTACTACTTTGTGAAAAAAGTATATGGATAATGGAAAGGTTTAGTAAAATGATCAGTAGCCATCACGTTAACTCAAAAGTTCTTAACTAAGAACTAATAGAATTTTAATAGGAGATTAATAGTGCCATTTTAGTTGCATAAAACACAGTACTGATTTTTTTCTTTTTCCCTTAATGGACAATTCCAAAAGCAATGGCAAGACTGTATACATGATGATGGATTGTACAGAAACTAATATATCCTATGGGACTCATTAGTAGAAATAATCTTGAAAAATACTTTGTTTTTCTTACCAATTTTTTGTTTAGAGCATAAAAATTTTCCTCTTTAGTGAAATAACAGTATAGCAAATTTTTATCTGCATATATTTTCTGAAAATATTAGCATGTTCTCCAAACTTCTTTTCCAAATATATTTAAAGATGAGCAGTTTCCTCCTGGGCAGTTTGTAGCCTCTGTAAATCCACTGGAAGGTCAGCAGTGAGTCAAAACTCTGGCTCAACAGCACATACCTGTAACAAAACAACATGTTCAATATGCTTCCTGTTTATCTTGCTGATTGTTTTCATTAACAAATATAGAAATCAGTATAGCCTTTTGACATTAATCATATGATGAATACCTTATAATTGGTGCAAAAATAAACCAAAATTTTTGTCTTTTTAATGACATCTAATATTTTTGCATAATGTTGACTGAAGATTATTGGTTTTTTTAAATTTTTAATAAGCTTTTAATAAAAATTTGTGTGTTTTCACTTAATTTTAGATATTCATGGAGTTTCCCAAAATTGAACCTGAAAATTCACAAAAATGTGAAATAGATATGGAAGAGAAAATTGAAGAAAAGGAAATGGAAAAAAATAGTTGCCGGGATGATAATACACAGTGTTCTGGAAAAGAGGCCATACTTTTTAAGCTCGAGACCACAAGAGAACTAGACCGGAAGCAGCAACAGGACAGTGATCTTTCTGTTCAAATGCTAGAAGATTTTCTTGAACATGACATTGATGTAAATAAGTATTTTTTGCCACCAAAGTTATTGCAACGATATGCTCTTTTGTTAGATATTGTTAGGCCCAGTTGCAGGAGATCCATGTGCTTTACAAAAGGGTAGGTTTTAAAGAGACTATCTTGTTATATCTGAAATAGCCAGGTTCTTACATTCTTTTTTATCTATCTATCTATCTATCTATCTATCTATCTATCTATCTATCTGTCTATCCCATTGTTGCTAGTGCATCATGGAATAACAAGGCACATTTTGTAAAATTTTCCTGCTCAGTGATTTTTCCCCCCTCTTAATTGCCTGCTTCATGTTCCAGTAGAATGCACAAGTGAAAATTCTTTGCTGGCAGAACATTATGTGCACAGCCCACAAAACTGCTCATGGAAGACAGCGCCATTTGTTTGGTGACCTTTGTGAGAGCTTAATTACCCAGAGTGGAAATATGGTTCCATAGATGATTCCATAGAATTGCTAATTCTTTTATATCTTGCTTTTTTTTAATGTTATATGAAACCTCGAAGATTTAAGTCTTCTCTTGTGATCATTGTACAAGAAGAAATTACATTTTAATCAAAGAAATAAAATTGAATCGACTGGAACCCTTGGAGTAGTTTCTACATACAATTTTTTTTTTCAGTATTTTGAATAGGTAATATGTTCCCAAGTTTCAGAATTCAAGAGGTGCAGAGGTTGTAAGATTTTTTTCCCCTGCTTCTATTCATATTCCTCAGCAATAGTTCACCTCCATACAGGCAACCAAAGCTATCAACTTTCCATAGGTGAAGTTATATTTAAACAGATGTGTATATTTTTATACTCCTGTTAAGTAAATTATAGCATTCTTGTATATATAATTATACACTTTAAAACTGGTTATTTATTGATGGATATATAGGTAACTTCCTTTGGGTAATTTCTTAAATTTCATTAGATGTTTTAAACCTAGAAAAAAATTAGGCCTTTCCAGAAAAATGTTACAAAATCCCTAACTCTGCTTTGTTGCTAATGTCATGCAGATAGTATATGTTGTTGTTTGATCAAGTTTCCTTTTTTACCTAACTAGCTGTAGAACAAGACACTGTGCCCCTGATCTAACCATACCAGACTCATTCTGATTTTATCATACTTTATCCTTGTGCTTCCAGGGTTTATTGCTTTCTATTATCTTAAAAGACTTCTGTCAGCTGTTGTCTATTACAGTGTTTGATAGGATCTTTTTAGGGCTATCATAAAATAAGACATCAATTTTATCATAAAAAACAACCTTGACATTCTTCTGTAATTATAAAGATGATATACAGATGCTTTACTGTAAAAATCTATTTTGAGTTTGGATAATGCATATGTATGGATAGATAACAGACACACTTTTATGTATGATATACATAAGAAAACAATTTGAAAATATGTTTCTCTCCTGCTATGACATTTTACAGTAATTTTTAATTTAAATTGTTTTCAATCCAAGAAACAGTTATTGCTTTGGCTTTGAAAATGACGAAATGACTCATAGCTGACCCTTGAGCGAATTTTAGGATGAGGGGGGATTGCCCATCTTTCTCCTCTGGAGCTGCTATTGGATTCCAATGCCTGACAGGCATGACCTTTCCTCTAGCAGTGCAACTCTCTAGGGATTTTGCCACCAGCAGAAGAAAATGATAGTGTGCTCAACAGCCAGCTTAGTAATAATCTTATAGAAACAGTAATAATACCCTGCATATTCGTCATGTTTGACACTTTATGTACTCATTTTTAATATATTTGGTAAAAACATACTATGTTACATAGATTCAGTAGGCTTTGTAGGTCACTGAACGGCAAATAAGTTTTTAAGTTCATGAGAAATGATGACTGAAGTATTATGGAAAATAGGGCCAATTTCTTTTCACCTTCATGTTTGATTCAATAGCATTTGGATACAAAGTCTTAAAAAGTACATGCTTTTCTAGTGGTAAACATTATAGAAATGACAATTTAAAGAAATACATAATTAAATGGTATTTACACAACTCTAAAACCCAGGCCAAGTGTAATTTCTGAATTTAAGTGGAAAGATCATACCTAGTCTTTTTCCTATTGATTTTTAAATCACAAGGCATACTGTTGTACCTGAACTGATTGATTAATAATCTCAGGAAATGTTTAAGAACTTGAAGATTATAAATGCACGAGGTGCCACATAATACTTTGTTAATTTTTCAGTTATGGGAACTATGTAGAAGGTACAGGCTCTGTGCTACAAACTGCAGAAGATGTGCAGGTAATATGTTAGTTTTAAAAATATTTAATGTATTTTAAAATATTATTTAAAGAAAATTATATATATATATTATATTTAGTAATCAATTTGTTAAAATAATTTTACATGTTCACCTAAAATAAATATATATGAATAAATATATATATGTGTAATATATATGTTTATATATATTTGTATTTATATACACACACACATTTTATACACACACGTATAATGCTTTACTGTAGGATAAGTCTTCTTGTTTCTGGATGTAAGTTTATTCACAAGGATGGTATTTGTTTTCATTTTCCTGCTGCTTACTCTTCTGTATTTTTTTTAATTCCATAAATAGTAAATGAAATTACAACATCAGTATTTAATGTTCTCCAAAATTAAACAAAAAGAATCTTTATGTTGAAACCTTTCTATTATAAACCTACTATAAACTTTCTTTTAGGGAAAAAATTACAGTTTCCATCATGTTGTTATAACTGAATACAAGTCTGATGATAATGTTGCAAGTTTTACATAGTTTTAAAGTGAAATTACATTATATTTGTATTTATTTCAGCTCTTGCTGTTAACCAATTTTACCCTTGTTAATGATGTATGTTAATATGTACATTTTAGAAATAATTTTTTAATGTATATTATCACTTGTAGACTATGTATTGGGCAAAATTGATCATAAACATGATCATGACCTTCTTATTAATGTTATAGTTGACTTTATTAGTTTATCTGATTTCCTGTTTATCCTTCAGTATGTTTTATTGCAATATTATTATTTATATTCTTATGGTTTAATTTTTGAAAAAAAATGAAAAATACAGAAAGTATTATTTTTTTCTTTTTTAAAGATTGAATAGCCATCATTGAGACACTTAGGTAGCTAATTGTACAGAGACCTTTTGTCCTGTGGAGTGCGTTTTGTGCCCATGTATTGTAGCAGATATTCTGTCCATCATTTAAAAACTGTCTCATGGTAAGTACTTTAAGAAATTCAGTTGCATATTACTTTATCACTACGTTATCTTGGATGTTTTCTTACAGATTGAGGATATCTACAAATCTCTTAGCAATTTGTCAGAAGAAGACAAGATAAAAAAGTTGTTAATGCTTAAAATGCGGTATTTTACTCCTAAAGAAATAGCAAATCTTCTTGGATTTCCTCCAGCATTCGGTATGTAGGATACATGCAAACCATAATTTTCATTTAATAAAGGTTTCAGAATTTATGAGAGACACACACATATTTTTTAGAGAAAATCTGGTGCCATCTTTTGGTGTTTTCCTTTTCCCCTCTTCCCTCCAACTTCATTCCCTTCAAACTCCACTTGTGTGCCCCTTTATTTATTCTGCAGTGGTCTAGGGTTGGAGCCCAATAGCAGCAAGGGCAAATCAACAGTTCTTTGCCTCTCTACACTTACAGTTCATGTTTAATAGCATTCCCTTCTCCAGAGTTTTCTCTTGCTTCCAGAGGACCTGTCTTAATAATTCCACCATAGATTATATGAAAGAATGTCTAGGATTGTCTTTTATATGATGCATTTCGTTTTGCTGAAGGGTGTATTTCTATTTACTGTCCTCAAAGATGCAGACTTACCAAATGTGTACCTTTTCTCTTTCCTACAAAGTGTAAATTGAGGGGAGAGAAGGTGAAAGGGGATTAGGAAAGAGCTTTCCTAACCAAAGGAAAAGGAGCATTCAGGAGCACAGATCTTAAAGTGAGGAAAATTTTAGAGGATCTGAAATAGGGAATCTCAAGAATAAAAATGGATTTGTAAAATGAAAATAAAAATCTTAACTCCATTTGCAGTCAGGGTAGTCCAGGGATTATTGCTGTTAAGAAATCAGACACAGTGTCTGTCTTTACTTTCTTAGCACAGCACAGCCCCCTGTCTTCTCTGCATGAGGCCTGTCAGCTTATAAGGAGCCATCAGTTCCTTAGGGTTGGGAATGACTGTGTTTCCAGTATCTGGCTCATGGAAAGGGTGAAGGATAAAGCCTTGCTTACATACTCCCAGGGCTACAGGGGTGGAAATGATGTACTGCAAAATCAAACACCACTGCAATGTTAATAGAATACTATTCTTGAATACCAAGAAATTAACATTGTTCATAGGATCACTATGATTTGTACATGACTCGATGGCACTAACAACAATTCTTGAAATAATGCATTAAATAGTTCACTTTTTATTTTAGTATATGCCCATTTGTACATTGGGGGTTGCTCACTCTTAGTAGCTCATTCTCTTAGTAGTCAGAGCAACCAGGTTTGTTTTGTACTCTGACATTTTCCTGATGAGCTCATTCAGTCCCCAAATATCCTACGACGTGTTATTAAGAAAAACATAGGCCTTGCTTGTTATCCCAGAGTGAGAACATCACAAAACAAACAAAGAGCGGAGATTTGAGCTCAAGAATTGTTACTCTCACTCTGTTTTCCTGTTTGCTTTTGTGTGTGTGTGTGTTTTGGTGAGAGAACGAACCTTCAGAGTTTAGTGCAATGCTAAAGTGAGAAAAGTGACTGACTGTCTCATAAGTTCTTATTCCTAAATGTTATTTACAGTCCATTTTTCATGGATTAGTAGTACATCATCTAATAGCACTGAAATTTGTTAAGGATTAAGCCTTGGAGTCAGGATGTCTGAATTAAAATCTTAGCATCACTTTAACTTCTTTGTGCCTTCATTTAGTCATCTGTAAAATGAGGATAATTTTTAGAGTCAAATAGATAATGCTTGGCAAATCATAAAAATATTTAAATTTAGCTTTTTTTAAATTTTTTAATAATACACGTTTGTTTGTTTTAAAACCTTTACTGTGTAAATGATGGAAAGTTTCCTCCTTTGCAATTTACTGTCTCTGAAAACCTGCTGGAGGGTCAGCTCTGACTTGAAAGTACACAACAACAGCAACCTTTACTATAAATATTTGATCAGTGTTTTTGAATTATAAATGGGTAAAGTGGGGGGTAGTGTACACACACACACAGAGCCTGAGAAAAGTAAAAATTTGAATAATTTTAAATTTTTGAGATGTGATATATTTGTTTTTGCTTCCCTCAAGGTGACCGACCCCTTGACTGAACTCTTTTATATGTGTTTCTGACATTAGTGACTCCAAAGCCAAAACAGCATTGTTTGAATTGGTTATCCACTGGCAATGATGGATTTGCATTGATCCTTTGTACAGTTTGTTCCGATTCTCTCTTGTAACAGACAGCATGCATGTGTAAAATAGAAGGCCTTGGACTAGAGGGATACCAGCCTGTATTTTCTTTAATGGTAGCTACTATTTTGACTTTGCTAATTTTATGTTTCTTTTTATTTGCTGATAATTATCATTACTTTTAATCCATCTAAAAAGCCCCTTTGTAACATAAAAATCTTTATAATGTTTACTAGTTTATTTTTTAACATTGACATATAATTTCAGGAAATCTTATTTACCTGTTTTTAAACTTTTCTTTCTTCCCATCTGCTCTTTTTTTAAAAACAACAAATTTTGCATTGGGATTTAAGTTTATAGAGCAAATTTGGTTTCTGTTCAACAATCCATACACATTATGTTTTGTGACTTTGGAATCCCAACATTGTAACAGCATTCGTCTGAGTTCCTCCCTGTGTTTCCTGTTTCCATTGGTTCTACTTTCTTAGCCCTTCCTGCTTCTGAGCTTTATCCCTGGGAAAATTCCGCCCTTTTGGTCTTGTCTGGCTGTTATAAACAGTGTATTCTCCTCTGGTGTTACTAATCACTTATAGACCTCTCTGTTGTTTGATTGTAAGTCAAATCACAGAGTTTGAGTTCCAGGCTTGCAGAATGACCAGGACAATGTTGTTGTTAGGTGGACTATAACTTATAAAAACCCTGTTAACGATGGATCTGAACATAGCTCTATCCTGTGCCATCGTCATCATCTCTGATATACTTAAACCTATTAATCTAGTTATTATGTCAGTACATCTTGTTGAAGTTCTTCCTCTCTTTTGCTGATCCCCTACTGTTCCAAATAGTATGTCCTTTTGCAAGGACTGGCCCTTCCTAACAACATTCCCAAAGTAGTGAGACAACATTTCCTCACTCTAAGGAGTGTCTAAGGAACATCTATAAGATACTCAGGACTTTTTCCCAACACTACAACTCAAAGGCATTGATTATTTTTCTTTTGTCATCCTTATTTATTACTTAACTTTTAGATGCATAGAAAGTAATTGAAAAGACCATGGCTTGACTCAGGCACATCTTAGTCTTTAAACTTAAGTCATTGCTCTGCAGCACCTTGGAGAGGTCTTTGACAGCAGATTTACCCAATTTAGCATGTCTTTATTTGGGATTCTACCAGTCTCTGTGAGACCATTATACCTGGTCTTATTATGACTTTTGTTCTACATTTTTCTTTCTTAATATCAGGGACCTCTCTACCTAATTGTGGTGGTGGTGGTGTTGATTGCCATAGAGTTGAGCATGATTTTTAGTGACCTACTGCTACTCAAGAAGAACCATCTTGTTCTTCTGGTCATGGAATTGTAGAGACTGAAATTTATATGGTCCATTGGTCCTTTAGATTAATATTCTTTTCTCTGCGTCAGAAAAGGCCAATACTTTACTTGATAGAAAAGCTCTTAAGAACTCAATTACTAATCATCAAAGTAGAAGGCAGAACATTGCGTTTGTAGATTGTGTTATTTCAGCTAACCTTGATGTCTCTTGGGATTATGGTCCTGAGCTCCCAGGCCAGCAATTCATTTCCTCAAGGTTCCTCTAACAAATGTAATCTTAATCTTAAAAAAAAAACAAAAAAAACAAAAAAAAAAAACCACAAATGTAATCTTAATCTTGTAGAAGATCATCCCTGGAATTCACTAAATGCTTATATATAGATGTATTTGAACATACACCTACTTTGGATCAAATTATTTTTAGATAACATAGAGTACTGTGCTTACCTAAGACAGAACTAATAAATGTTCATGTTTATTGCAAATAAAGTTTTATTGTAGTAATAACTGTTATCTTATTGCAGTGCATTAATGTTAAGAGTTGATGAAGCAACTTTGCCATAACTCAGATTCTCTGATTCTCATATGCAACCTTGCTACTTCTTGATGTTTTTATGTTCTTTTCTTCAGTTTAGTAATAGTTTAATTTTACCTTTTTAAAAAAATTACTATGCCAGAAGTTATGCTGATGGACACAGGTTTTTTAATTTTTTAGAATGATAAAAATGATCCAGAATTAGGTAGTTTAATGGTTGAGTTATATTTTTTTAGAGTGATAAAAATGATCCAGAATTAGGTAGTGTAATGGTTGGAGGACCAGGAAATGTTTAGTTCTGTTATGCATAAAGTTACTATGAGTCAGAGCAGACTCAGTAGCAACTAACAACAGCAGCAGTACATTATACCGAAAAAACACTGGCTTGTATACTTTAACAAGGTGAATTCTATAGTATGTGAATTGTATGTAAAAATATTGCTGTTATACAAAAATATATGAAACAAAGGTAACTCCTGATTTTTCTGAATACACTAGTATATGGAGTGCTATGAGTTCTGTGAATGTTATTTTATACTTGTAAGTGCTGAGCATACTATTATGTAATATTTTTTTTCTATAATTATATTTTATTAATTTTCATAAACATTTACAGAGATTTTGGGTTTCCATT